ATTAAACAGTTACTTACATTTGTGATACTTTTAAAAAGTATTAATTAAAACATTTTAATATAGGAAGTCTATAAGTAATATAGTTCCATACATTTGTAATGAAATGATTTTGCTCTAGGTCCAGGTTAATTTCTTTATTAATGTGTGAATGGCTTTCCATAGCTCAGAAGCTATATTTTATTTCACTCAAGGGCAGCCCTAGAGGAACCACCCACAAAATCCCCAAAAACATAATGAGAATGATGTAGGTGTGTACGTAAACAGCACAGCATACTATTGGTCAGCAGTGAACTCTCCTGGCTGTTTTTTGGTTTCTGTTCTGTTTGCTTACTCTGATCAAAGCAGATTATTTTTTTCTTTCTACAGTATTTGCTCACAATGCCAGTTCTATCAGTTCCATCTATGTGGTCACTCAAATGAGCTACAGAACTAGAGACACAGATGTCTCCTTTTTAATTATATGCCATCAACACATCAATAGCCACCCCCGTCGAGTCAAATGTCACACCTATGCTCTTCTTTCATAGTGTTTTTTTTTTTTTTGCTGTTTTCCAGCCAGATGCATCCATTGTACTGAGTGAACTAGCACTCTGTTTGTTCTTGGTCATATCACCAGCTGACTAATATTGACATTTGTTGAAATAAAGAGCTTAAGAAACATAACACCTAAATGATTTTCACTTTAGATCCTTTTTATTGCCAATATATTTAACTTCATGATACATAAGCATAGTCATTGGTTTATGCTTGTTTATTACAATTTTGTATATTGACTGTGCTCCAGACAAAGAAGGAAAAGGAAAATGAATGAACATAGACAAAAGACAAAATTATGCTACTTGTCTCACATTTGTCTCATGCATTATACAATCTATTCGTGGACTGTGCTCCAAATCAACAAAGAAGAAAAGAAAAAAAAGACAGAATGAAATAGAAAATTATACTACTGGTTTCATGTATTTCAGGCCATATATTATTTTTGTTTGTCCTTTATTTTTTTTTAAACCAAATCGGAAAACCACCTTAGATAGAAGCAAAGAAACCCAGCTGTGTCCTTTTCAGAAATATTCCAATTTGCCATGGATTTTCAGATCTCCTCAAAGAACTTTTGGTCTCAAATAGGAATGTCCAGTTTCTCCTTGTGAAATAAATTTAAGCTGCTGAACTGGCTTAAAAAAAATAAAAAACAATATGCATCACATGAGCTGCTACCATGCCACCAAGCAAAACAGAAGCCTTGTTTGATGCATGCACCATTCTCTTAGAGGCCTTTCTTACATCCACTCAGAGATCCACATGGCCATGGCGAAAATAGGGTTTTCCTACTTGAAGTTTCAGTGCTGAGGAAAATGTTTGTGACCCCCCACCCTCACAATATGATAATCAGAATTACAATTTCTTACTGTGATGCTGTTGTATACTCAAAACCCCTTTATTTCTTAACTGAAAGTGTTTATATGTTTTTGGAGATGGAATATGGTAGTCAAATTTATGGGTAAAATTGGGTAGAAATGTACTGAGTTTGGGAAGCCCTATCCTATATAATGGTAGGAAAGTTTATGAGTTTCACCTTCACTGTATATGGATGGAGCCATTCATAATGTACATCAAAAGCAAGTCTGCAGCAAGCTTGGCGTACTATAGAGCACTATGAGTCAGCAAGCCAAACTTTTCACTGGCCAAGGAAGATCAATAGGTGGCACTTATTGTGTGTTAAATGTTAGTGAAACAGTAGCTTTATTTCATTTGTTTTACTACTTTTTAAAATCTACTTTCATATGGAATAATAATATAGAATCATGAAATGAAGGGGAAATTGTAACTGAAAATAAAAATAACCTAAGAATAATACCATCTCTGAATGCCATTAATAATATGAATTTATTAATATAAATATATGTATATACAGTAGCTTGTAGTGGTATCTGAAAAAAATAAGATACACAACAGTATTCCACATTCTTCATGAATATTTCCTGAAAATCAAAATTGTTAACTCAGTATCTTTCTGTGGTTGTTTTGGAAAAGTCCCATAAAGCCAAATCAGTGTGATGCATTAGCGGTTCAGAGGTAGAATTTTTCCCTTTCACGGTTCAATTCTCCACCAATGCGTAAGGTATACTTCTCATAAATTGTCCCTAGGGCATAATAAAGACTCTTTCTCTAATAATAAATATATAATAAATAATATGTATTCTGTATTAAAATGTTTATTAATTGTACGTATACAACATTATTTTATATTATATAATGGTGTATAAATATTTTAAATATTAAAATAATATTAATAATAAGTAATAAAGTAATAGCATGAATGAACCTCCAGACCAACAACCTCCAGGATGCTCAGAGATTATAGAAATAGATAGAGTCTCTTATGCCTTGGTGGTTGCATTGGGCTGTACTTTTGTATAATCCTTCATGCATGAAGAAGCAAAAACCTTTATGACATAAAGCCAGCTATTTGATGTTTATTTTCTTTTTGATGCTACTTTCAGATGTAATGAGAAACAAAACTATTTGTCAATAAAAGCACTGCTAGGCCAGGAAGACAGAAGACGTTTAATAAAAATACAGTACAGGTATGTACTTTTCAGTTTAATATATGACATTCTCCCAGTAGATGTTCCTAATACACTCAGTGAGGCTGTTTACTTAAATTAACATTAAGACAAAATATACTGTGTATTAAACCTGAAAAGAACAATAATTCTGTATACTGTAATTAAAAAAATATGTTTTTGTTACTGTATAGTATGTTTAGTGCAGAAAAGCACTAATGGATGAAAAAAAAACATTTAATTTGTATTTTTAAAATAAGAATTCTGTGACATTTACTGTACATGCCCTGCGATACACTTTAGAGTCATTGCTTCACTTGGCAGTTTTACTAAGTAGTGTAGTCCTGCATAAGATTATTTGAAGAAAAAAGGCATTATGTCGTAGCTTTCAGCATACCATGACAGCTGTTGTGGTATGCTTCATGACACTTCATGCACTTTAAATGGCTGCATAAATAGGTTAGTGAAAACATTATACCAAAATCAAAAAAAGATATCATAAGATCTAAGAAAAAGTATATCTGATGCTCATTAGAATGGAAAGTGTTATAAAACCATTTCTAAACATCCAGGGTTCCATCCTACCTCAGCAAGGCACATTTTTGCACATGTAAAATATTCAATCCATGGAAAGTCTGCCCAAGACCAGTTGTTGTGACAAAATCATCACAAGTCCAACCCAGAAAATCATGCAGGAAGTCACAAAGAACACCACAGTAGTATCGGAGGATCGGCAGGCTGCACTGACATCTCTTGTTCAGTCATCAGGATAGACTGAACAGGAATTATATCTTATACAGTATATACTGATGGAAAAAATAAATGCAACATCTTGGAATGAGAATACTATAGTTATAGCTTATGTACTTTCACAAAAAGTTGTCAATTTGTTTGACAGTCCTCTGACCAGCGATAAAGCTTGAGCAGTGAGGTATTGCAACTTGCCAATCAAAAGAAAGCTCGTTAGGTGCACTTTTACCCAATGGTCCAGGTGGAACAATGCCTGATCAGGTCACCTTTAAAAAGACCTTAATTCAAAGCGTAGGTCACTGCAAGAAAAAAGCCACACTAAGTAAGCTTTCTGTTCATTCATAATGCGTCAAATGACACCAGAAGGAAGGGAAAGGGTCATTGGCATCCTGCAGGCAGGCACGTCATGTGCCAACATTGCCAGACACTATGGAGTAAGCCGCTCCACTGTGTCCCAACTGCAGAGAAGGTTTCAGCAGACTGGCAGGACAGATAACCATCTAAGATCTGATCACCCTAGGTTAAGCACACCAGAGCAGGACCAAGACATCATCTCAGAGATCGTTTCAGATCTGCCACCCGTACTGCTGCTGAAAGTGCCGGCAGACACATCAGTGACCGCATCAGTGACAGGACAGTGGGGCTCCATGCTGCTGGCCTTAGAGCAAGGCAACCTGTCAGAGGCCCTCTGCTCATACCTCCTTGACGTCACACCCAACTGGCTTGGGCCAGACAGAGACTGCGATGGACTTGTCAGTAGTGGCTTCAGGACCTCTTCACAGATGAGTCACTCTTCAGCCTGTTCCACACAGACGAGAGGGCCAGTGTGTGGAGGAGGAGGTGTTGCATTTCTGTTTTCCATCAGTATATATTATATTGCTATCAAGAAAGAAACCAGAGCTCTCTAAAAAGAACATTGCATTCATTCTTCTGTTCACAAAAGCTCATCTAGACAAACTGGATCTACAAGACTTCTGAAGAATGCTCTCTGGCGAGACAATTCAAAAGCTAAACCTTTTGCTAAAATGTAGAATTTTTTGTGTGGTAAAAACCAAAGACTGCCTTCCAAAAAAGAACCTCATCCTGACCGTCAAACATCCTGACCGGAGGGAGTATCATAGTTTGAGACTGTTTTGTTGCCTCAGGACCCATATGGCTTGATATTTTTGACAAAACCATAAATTTGGCGTTGTATCACCACATTCTGGAGGAGAACAGATATGAAAACCTACAACAGAACATCTGAAGTGGAAGAAATTGCTTGTTTTGGAATGGACAGGCAAACCCCATTTGGGAGGACCAGAAGTGACTGTGCACTGTTATCACTCATTAACTTGTCAGGTCTTTCATTGAAACATATTGTACTAAAACCGTCAATAACTATGATGAATCACAGTTAACATTCATGCACATCCTATTTCCATCCTCCAATCCACAACGTATTATTGTAATAACAGCTACAAAGGAATTGCTGGTTCTGAATCTGTTTATGTTTCAATGTCTTGTGCAAAGTAACAATTTATTTGAAAACTGAAAGCCAGTGGCAAATGTGACTTACTGTAAAAGAAAGTCAATGAAACTTCAACATTTTGGCAGCGAAACACCTCAGTACTGTCTATGCTAATTTATCATTATTTTTTTAAAGTGGTGTGAAAACTTTTGTATGTGTTGCTGCTCAGTCTAATAATTCTAGAATGGTGTCACTTTTCGATTGAAAACCAGTGGTATTTTGCTTCTGATCTCCTTTGTTCTGAGGCCATATATGATTGGATTCAGTGTCGGGGGAAATACTAAGACAAACACTGACAATATTTTCTTTGCATGAGGTGAAAATCCCTCAATACGATATGCATATTAAGACAAACACTGACAATATTTTCTTTGCATGAGGTGAAAATCCCTCAATACGATATGCAAGTATAGGAAGAACACCAGTAACTTCCAAAATAACAAAGCTTACTAAATGAGTACCACAAGTCTGAATGGCTTTACCCTTAGCGTCAGACAGTTTGTTATTCAAACACGTGAAAAGTATCTGGAGGTATGTATAAATAACAACACTTATAGATAACGCCTGTAAAGAAAATGTTATAAAGAGCCCATAAATGTTATTTGTGCTTGTATCTGCACAGACTAGTCTCACAAGAGAAGGATTATCACAATAAATGTTAGAAATCAAGGACCGACAGTGTGGTAACCGCAGAACCATAAGAAAAAGCACAACTATCATAGTGACATCAACTATCCAAATCAGAACAATAATTTTTAATAAACAGGTATTAGTCATAATTGCATGGTATCTTAAAGGACAGCATATCGCTAAATATCTATCAAATGCCATTGCTATTAGTATCAACAAAGAACCCACTGCATAAATGTGGACAAAGAAAGCCTGTATGACACAGGCTGTATAACTTATTGACCTTGAATCAAGTAAAATTTCTTTCATTAAAGCGGGAAATAAGGCAGTTGCTCCCATAAGGTCATTGATAGGGAGATTAAAAACTAGTAGATACATTGGTTCATGTAAATGTTTCTCCATAGCAATTGTAATAAGGATTATTAGATTACAGAAAAGAATAATGCAATAAATTAACATTCCAAAAATGAATGCAGGGTAGACCCATCCAGGGGGAATGTTAAAGCTTTCCAGTGAAAGAAGAGATGTGACATCAGAAGAGTTATTCATGTGCATAAGTTTCAAAAGTCCTGCCTACAGGAAGCCTGAAAGTGAAAGGGCAGAAATTCTGTTTTACATTTAGTTTATAAAATAATGTCCATCAAATTTTTAAAAAAGTCTAAATAATATATACTTGAACACTATGCAGGTTTTGCAAATACAGTATTTTTCTCTCTAAGTATACAGCATATTTCAAGTAAAGGACACACTGTTTTGGTCAGTAAGCATCATATTTTTCCTATTACTACAAGGAACAAATGAAAGTGAAGCATTTTTTAAAAGTTTTTAACCATTCTCAAATATATACATACTGTGCTGTACATTTGTATTTTTTGGCATATATGAACTCCTGAAATGTTTTAAAAATGCTGTTAACAGCCTTACTTTTTCTCCTGATAATTTCCCAGAGTTACAAACAGAGGACATCTGTACATTTCAACCAGTGATATTGTTTTATCAAATTTCTAGAGCAATATGACCAGAATGCCAAGAAAAACATCAAACGACAGGATTGAACTACAGCATAATATAGTTCGTAAGTGATGTGTTATAGATACTGTAGATAAAATACTCTACATGTAGAGTTTCAGAATTGGAAAAACATAAAAATATTATTTTTTCAGGAATTGCAACAACCCCAATACAGTTTTAGGGATATAAATATCAGACTCACAAATGTGTATTTGGTACACCAATGATTTTCCTGACACATTAATATTTTTAAAGCTTTTGAACATTACAACAAAACTACAGGAATAATGTAAAAGTATGAACAACAGCTACATTATTTAAAACATTTTTCACATTTCAGTTTTTGTATTTTGTTTTATTTTTAAAATGTAATGCATTTTTGTTAAAAATACAGCTACAGTTTTTTCTCTTCTAAAACCTGTTGTGTGATAAAAGCTTTTGTGCTCAATATGTCTGTGCATGGTTCACTAGAGCAGAAGTAAGACTTGTGTGATTCAATATATATTTTGAGCATTAATTAAAAACTAAATTTAAATTTGCAGTTTCCCCTACAGTATCAATTGAAATTGATGAAATTATCATTTTACCTATGGCGATATGGTACAAAGTAAAAGTTTCAGTATACAGAAGGAAGTGCATGAGTAATACAGTTACTTACATTTGTGATGAAATTATTTTTATTTCAGTTCTAGCTCCTGGTTCATCTCTTTATTAATGTGCGAATGGCTCTTCATGGCTCTGCAGCTCTGTTTTGTTTCACTCAAGGGCAGTCCTAGAGAAATCAAACACAAACTGAAAATAATGGGAATGACAAGACTGTATGTCAGTATACAGTATGTAAGCAACATGATCAGTGTAAACTCTCCTGAGACCATTGAAAGCTGTTAGAAAAAAAGGGAAAAACTCCAATCTGTAATAGCAATACCAATTTTGTTAGTTTTTTTCTCTTTTTTGGTAGAAAGTGCACACTTTCTACATTTAGAGAATAAGGCTGAGCCACGGAGAAGAACACATTTCTGAAAGGCTATATCTTTTGTGTAGTTGCTGTTTTGGCATCCTGTGTGCTTAATCTAATGAAAATAATCCTTTCTTTTGTGTTTCTAATTCTAAACAACATCAGCTCGATCAGATGTCAATTTAATATCTGTGGTCGATCAAATGAGCTCCATAAATAACAGACAGGGATGCTTCCATATTAATAATATGCCTTCAGACAAATATCATGCCTATGTTCTTGTTTCATCATTTCTTTGCTTTACCACAGCAAGGTGTAATAGTAGAACTGGAATTAATGTTTAAGGGGAATTCTGTGTAAAACTAGCAATTCGCTTCAAATCATGTGAGAAGATATCTTTGGTTTATTGTGTTTATTTGCCTTTAACAATGATCTTAAGGAATAAAATAATCAAAAAAATATGACTGTTAGTATCCTTCACAGTTAACTTAAAATAATCCACATAGGAATCCAAAATGCTTTATATAAAATATTTTGCAAGACCCATGATGACATTTTTTTAGGACCAATACAACACTCTAAGATGTGCACTTTCCCCAGTAATCCATTCATCCATCCTAACTGCTTTTTTCACATGAGACACACAGACACAGACACACATACACTCACGATTATGGCCAGCATTCCCTGAAGCCATTTAACCTACAAGTATGTTTTGTTTTGAATGACAATAAGACAACCCAGAGGAAACCCACTGAGCACTGTGAGAACATTCAAACTCCACACAGATAATACCCAGGTCCAGAATTGAACCCAGGGCTCTGTTGCTGCAAGACAGCAATTCTGGCCACTGCGACACTGCACCATGACCAATGCAAACATGACTCCTGCAAATATACTATTCAGTATATAGTTTTCTTTATGAGTCCTTTTTTTGTGAATCAACAGTTTCTAATATAATTTTTAATATTTTAAACACATATAGTTATAAACACAAAGTTTCATATGCAGATAATGGATATTTAAAAAGAATGGTTTACTTCAGTCTTTCCAGAATAATTTCTGTAGCAGTTATTTGGGGGAATCCATAGAATTGTTGCTCCTGACTTGCTTACAGAATATTAGTAGGAATTGTGCAGAAAATTCCTAGTTTGTGCCTTATAGGAAAGATCTTAAGCCCTTGTATAATCATAATAAAAGGTTAGAATATCTAATGTAGCCACAATAAAATACCAAGCAGATTGAATAATGCCACAATCAAAGGATATACAGTATTAGAAATATTTTCTGAACTCCTAGGCTGTTGTAGGATTAAAGCTGTAGTTTCAATACCACAATTCAAAGTTAGCCACAGATGTGTGAATATTGTGCATCATTTTTAAACATTAAGGAAGAGGCAAATTCAAAACATCACTCATCTGGCTCTAAGGTTTAAAACATGTAAATGGACTTGTATTCTTTCTATGCAGAAAGGCAACTTGTGAAACAGAAAAAGAAAACAAGCATGAAAGATAATCATGACAATATTTTTTAATAGAGTTAATAAAGTGGTTTGTAAACAAAATAACACATATCTGGATAAAAACAATTAATACAGATTTCTTCTCTAACTTTTAGATGAATATGAAATAATTACAGTTATAATGCAGAACATTTATAAATGCATAATGAACAAAAAATAATGAATTGTTCTACATTTCTAAATCAATGCATTATTGCATCAATATTATGGATTATATGGAAAAATAAGTAAACTGTATCTCCCTCTCAAGCTACCTTGTACCAGTCTCACAGAAGGCTCCCAGCCTGTTCAACTAGTTTAAATTGTCCTGTCATGTAGGGATCTGGGGAGCAGCTGATCAGTCACTCAACTCTCTCTGTTAACTATCTGGGGACCAGGATGATCACACACTTAGTTCAACCAAGCACAGGGAAGAAATGGGCACATACAGTACAAACATACTCACACTTCACTCATTATCCTACAAGTAAAATTCCACAATTACCAAAACTCAATTTTAATAAACTCAAATATTAATTTTAATCTCTGTGTGATGCATTATCACCAAAGTGGCTTAGTAATGTAACTCCTTTTTTTAATCCATAACAGACACATTGCGCTATATTGTACAAAGACACTATAGCTATTATACAGTATATGTAAAAATCATATATTTACATAGGTTCAAATGCATTTGCCAGTACAAAAGAAGAATATACTATAACAATATTTTGCATTTTTATTAAAGCCTTACAATAGGGTTTCAGTGTCTACATCAGCAAAATATAACCAAGCTGTACTTCCTTCTGTAAGAACAATATTTCCAAATGAATGCAACCATGTGCAATCTAATATGATCTAACTCTCACCACCGAGTGTCGGAGGACAGATTATTTAGTTGCAATTAAACCTACCGGCAAGGTATCACTGGAAGAAAGGAGGAATATGTACAATTACATTATTTGAAAAGAGCTTGAAAGTGCATTTGAATCTACATCTTATGATTGGTTAAAGCAACGTTGTAAATCACTGTTGGTTTTTAAGTTAAGTTTGCCATCAAAAACAATGTTTAAAAAAGTGTCACCTCTGATCTAAAAGTCAAAGGTATTCTTGTCGTGATCTCTTTTATTTTTGAGGCCGTGCATTATTGGGTTCAGTGCTGAGGGAAATGGAAAAATCAAGACCTCGATTACTTTTGATACATAAGGCAGAGTCTTCTCAAAATGATAGGAGAGTATTTTAAAACTGTCATCCTTTGATGAAATGACAAAAACAAATTTACATACCAACTGCTGTATAACAAAAACAAGATGTAATTTGTAAAAATAATGAATGATACAGCACGTCTGAATGACTTTGCTCTTCACATCAGACCGCTTGTTCTTCAGACATGTGAAAAGTATCTGAATGTACAATATGTGTAAAGAACTGAGCCTGAAAGGGTGGAGCAATGGCTCTGTGGCCAAGGCTCTGCGCCTGCGACTGGAAGGTTGCTGGTTCAAATCCTGCAGCCCGCAGAGGAATCCTACTCTGCTGAGCCCCTGAGGAAGGCCCTTAACCCCAACTTCTCCAGGGGCACTGTTCAATGGCAGACCCTGTGCTCTAACCCCAAGCTTGTCTCATGGAGAGCAAGCTGGGGTATATGAAAAGATAATTCCTAATGCAAGAAATTGTAAAGGGTTAATAAAGTAATGTTATTATTATAAAGCCAGAGCTTTAAGCACAGCTGTCAAAAACAGCCCATAGATGTCTGATTTATGCTGGTGTCTGATTTACAATATCATGAGAATATTAGAAATTAGTGACCAACAATTAAGGCAACTGCACAACCAAGGAAAAAGAACAGTTATCAGGATAAAATCCACAGTCTAGAGCAGTATGATGATGTGTATCTGTCATGATTGAATTAGACCTTCATGAGCGGCATATTGCAACATACTATAGTGTATCTATCACATGCTTACTGTCAATATCAGAGAAGAACCCACTGTATAAATATGGACAAAAGAAACCTGAGTGATACAGTCTGGGTAACTTATTGATCTGGAATCAAGAACAATTTCTTTCATTAACTAAGGAAATAAGGCAGAGGCCTCAATTAGATCATTGATGGGTCGATTGAATATCAGCAGATGCATGGTTTGGTACTGTAGACCAATTGTGAGAAGAATACCTGAACTACAGAAATTATACATTAATAGACCATTCTCAGAACAAATACTGGGTAGACAAAATTAGGAGAAATATTTAATACTCCTAATGTAATCCTCCTAATTAGAGAAGATGTTTGCCATGGTTATTTACTTTCAGGACTATTTTTGACAAAAACTGGAAAAGAAGGCAACATGTCAGAATTAAATATAATTATCAAATACATCTATTACAATGAATTAATTGAATTATTATTGTATTGTGAATGAGTATTGATCTAAGAATCTATTGATTTAAAATAGATAAATCAATGATGTACATATACTGTTGCGATAATTTAAAACTGTGGTGCCAAAAATACAGAATCAAATAGTTTTTTCAAGAATAAACCTTTTTTTTTATTAAATGCTGATTAATTTGGTTGTGGTACTAAAATAAAAAGACGCAAGAATAGACTAATATTCTAACCAAATGTCCCAAAAAGAGAAATATCAAATATGTTTTACACATTACAGAAAACCTAAATCTTACTTTCCACAGCATTGTAATGTAATTCACACACTTTTTTCATATTGTTATAAATGGGGGGTTACAAAAATAGAGAAAATCACCAACTGACAGAGCAGATTAAAAAAATATTCATAACTCCCAACTTGTAAGGCTTTATTTAGACAAATGTGAATTTTCTGTTCTGTGGCACAGCTTTGGTGAAAAGAGTAATAATTCTGTCACATTTGCTTAAACAAATATTTATTAACAAGAACAGTGATACACAAACACAACTTAACACACAAAGCACAAAAATCTCCTTGTACACAGTATGTACAGACAAAGCATTTCAGAGGCCTATGTCTAAACCACCCAGAAAGTCCCAGGCTGCTATCAAGTACTTGACTCTTAAATAAACCTTACAGAGGCCAAAAAAGCTGCCTTCTAAACTAAACAGAATACAACCTACAGTTAAATCTCTCTTTCTCTAACCTGGACACCACAACGATAAATGGGAGCCTATCTCCATATTCTAAAATGCAGCTTAAACGGAGGTATTCTTGATTCAGGGACTTGAAGGTCCCTAAAGCTACAGCAAGCTCTTTTAGCAATATTCAAATACTTAGCTCCAATCAGATTTTTTTTGGATAATCACAAAGTAGGGACTCTCTCCTGGCACAAGCTTCAAGTCCTGTCTGTTTCTGTCTCCTTTAGGTTCAGAAGTAGGAATTGCCACTCTTCATTGTTAATTGCAACACAAAAGTATGTGTTACAAGTAGAAAATAACTTGACCAAGAAAATAATCAAAGCTAAGAAAGGTGTAGTCTCACAATTTTAATTGTTTTAACAATTAACATGTTTTAATTCTGCTTCCCTTTTATTATATTGTTATATATTATCAAAATTGTTTGCTTGAACTCTTTTGAAATATTGTAATAATAATTGCTTTCACTTATATAGCACTTTTCTGGAAACTCCACTCAATCGCTTTACAGGTAATGGGGAATCCCCTCCACCACATGTAAGTAAAAGGGAAGCTGTTTTGTTTCTGCTTCCCTTTTACTTACAGTCCTGTATTTAAGATGGTTCAGTATAAAAAGTATCATGCTGAAAAGAGAAGAAAAAAAACACAAAGTTTTGGCTGTGGAGCCTTCAACATTGCGTTTTTTTTCTTCTCTTTTCAACATAAAATTAACCTTTACTTGTTCCTTTGTAGCCTACAAATACTTATGAATTACGGATCCTGGGAGAGACTATCAGTAGGAAAAAAAAACTTATATCGAGGGAACAATTTACAATTCGTGTGCACGAAATAATTATATCAAGGGAATGATTTATAATTACTGTGCATGAAATAACTAAATCGTTCCCTCGTTTTCTTTTATTAGTGCACATGAAATAACTTTTTCTAACTCTTTTCTTCTCAAGGACAGATGTGGCACTAGCAGTGAAAGAGAGGTACAGTCCTGACTAGTAGTTCAAGAGTACAGTAGCTACAATGCCCTAATAATTCATCCCCAAACTAAAATAAAACTTAATCAGTTCATCTTTATCTATTATCCTAATCTACAGCAGTGTCAGACAGTAAGGCTTTATTGTACTAATTTAAGACAAGGTAACATGTTAACTAGCATTTTATAAAGTTGTTCTTAGGAGCCGGGTATAATGCTGGCGTTTAAGAAACTTTCTATGTGCGTGCAACTACCATGACACAAAGAAAATTGAGAAAATAGTTAGGCAACACTATTATGTTCATGCGAATTGTTAATCGTTTCCTTGATATTTTCACGCCCTCTGCAGCCAGAGGGCGCTCCTTCTCTGTCCTGTCCCTAGTTTCCGGTCTGCTGTCCTTCCTGTCCCTCTCTTCCTTGGGCTATATATTTCCGGGTCTTGCACTCTGTCCTCGCTCAGCATTGATGTTCGGATGTCCTGAGACCCGCCTAGCACCAGGGCGCCCCACGTCCGCTCCCTGAGGGCATAGGTTTCTATACGGCATTCCTGAACTCTTTGCACTAATGAGCCCGGGCCTTTTTCCCGCTCGCCGCTACGCATATGGGTCTTTTTCTGCTCTCCTGCTCCCCACGGTTAATCCCTTTGGACGTCCGTGACAGATATAACTTTTTTTCCTACTGATGGCCGCACCTGGATGGCGTACATACTGAACTGACACATCTACCTACTTAAAAAGTATCATGCTGTTTATCTGTCCACAGTATAAATTTGGTGTAAACTCACAACAAAACATGAATTAAGGCACCAATTCATCACTGCTAATGTTTAATAGGCAACACTAACATTGTAGTTAGTTAATTAAGGAACATTATTTTAAATACACAATTTTCAATTAAAATTACTTACTGTAATTATTTTTTCCTGATCACATACTGTGTATTAATTCAAACTTTCTGAAGGCAAAATTACACATTTCTCTGGAAATTACTGTATCTCATTTTTTTTTCATTCAAACCAATGGTTATTTTAAATTGAGAAAAATTAATGCTTTATCGGGAAGGTGCTTTAAGAAAAGCATAGATTAAAAAGTTATGCTTCACACCAATACAGTATTACATAAAGTTTTGAAATTGTAATTCAAATGCAAATCATAATAGTCAATAGGCACTGTGGCTAAGGATCTGCGCCTGTGGCTGGAAGGTTGCCAGTTCAAATCCCACGGCCGGCAGAGGAATCCTACTCAATTGGGCCCCTGAGCAAGGCCCTTAACCCCAACTGCTCCAGGGGTGCTGTACAATGGTTGACCATGTGCTCTGACCCCAAGCTTCTCTCCCTGTGTCTGTGTCTCATGGAGAGCAAGCTGGGTATGCGAAAAGACAAATTCCTAATGCAAGAAATTTTAAATGGCTAATAAAGTGATCTTATCTCAATTGTGGGATCTTATAGTGTTCTCTTTCTGATGCCTCATAGACTGTAGATTGGTACAGAATTCTGTTATAATGATTTCTATAGAGACATATTAAAAATACTTATACAATACCTGAATACTACTCTGTTCTTGTTTCAAGCACAAAACACTTTATCAAAGGCATTTAAAAACCTCACCTGAGCTCCACCTGAATGTAATGAAGAATGGGGCTACCTGACAATACAGTACTTATTCATTGATCAACTTCTCTCTGTTCTACTTGGTACTGTATGTGAAAAAAAACACAAGTGACTATAAATAAAGCAGTAATAAGGCATGCATACACTCACACGACCTAAAATAATTCTTCTCCAAAATCAAAGGAAAATAACACACTTCTATTTCGAGCTCACATTCATATCACAACAAAGGTTAACTGATTTTTAATATCTTCATGTGGCCCTTAACCCCAACTGCTCCAGGGGTGCTGTTGAATGGCTGACCCTGAGCTCTGACCCCAAGCTTCTCCCCCTGTCTGTGTGTCTCATGGAGAGCAAGCTGGGTCTGCGAAAAAGACAAATTCCTAATGTAAGAAATTGTATATGGCTTATAAAGTGATCTTATCTTATAATGTCTTGAGTGAACAAAAGAGTGGCAGCACACATATTTCCATTTGTAACGGTTACAGTACAACAAACAAATACAAGGTAACTCAAATAATTTTTCTAGGAGTAACTTCTTCACTCCCGATAGGTTTCTAGAAATGTGTCACCTTTCGACTGAAAATCAGCGGTATTTTGCTTCTGATCTCCTTTGTTCTGAGGCCGTATATTATCGGATTGAGTGTTGGGGGAAATATTAAGACAAACACTGACAATATTTTCTTTACCTGAGGTGAAAACCTCTCAATACGATATGAAACTATTGCAAGAACACCAGTAACTTCCAAAATAATGAAGCTTACTAAATGAGTACCACAAGTCTGAATGGCTTTACTCTTTGCATCAGACTGTTTGTTATTCAAACATGTGAAAAGTATTTGGAGGTATGTATAAATAACAGCACTTACAGACACTGCCTGCATAAAAAATGTTATAAAGAGTCCATAGATGTTACTTGAGCTTGTATCTGCACAGACCAGTCTCACAAGAGAAGGATTGTCACAATAAGTGTTGGAAATCAAAGATCGGCATCGTGGTAACCACAGAACCATTACAAAAAGCACAACTATCATAGTGGTATTAAGTATCCAAATCAAAATAATAATTTTTAATAAATAAGCATTTGTCATAATTGCACGGTATCTTAAAGGACAGCATATGGCTAAATATCTATCATATGCCATTGCTGTCAGTATCAGCAAAGAACCAGCCGCATACATATGGATAAAAAAGGCCTGGGAGATACAGGAAGGATAACTTATTGACCTGGAATCAAGTAAAATTTCTTTCATTAACTGGGGAAATAAGGCAGTGGCCCCCATTAGATCATTAATGGGGAGATTGAAAACTAGTAGATACATTGGTTTGTGTAAACGTTTCTCCATAGCAATTGTAAGAAGGATTACAAGATTACAGAAAAGAATAATACCATAACACAACATTCCCAAAATGAATGCAGGGTAGACCCATCCAGGAGGTATGTTAAAGCTTTCCAGTGACAGAAGAGAGGTGACATCAGATGAGTTATCCATAGGTATAATATTCAAAGGTACTTCCTACAGGAATCCTAAAAAGGAATAGCAAAAAGTTAATTATTTTGATTAGTTTCTAAAAATATGTTTTCTTACAAAATAGAAGCCAACCTTTTGAAATATGTATCAAATTTACAAGTATTTCCCTCCCCAAGTTTCAATATCATGTCAATCAGAAAATGTTTTGGTTATTATGTGCTTTTTCTACTTTTTAACATTCAAGAAAGAATGTGTGAAAATAAAGAAAACATTTAATTGTTTACCATCATGAAAAGCCAATCAGGTAATGTTTTCTTTTTCATTTTCAATGTGGCAAGTAATCTAATTATCCCTTTATTAAACCTTAAATGTTACTTTAGAATTATTGTTATTCATGTAGAAAGTATTCTATATCCTAACTGTAAAAACAAAAACAGTATAAAATATTGCTGAAATCCCACTACCTTATATTTATTAACACTTTTTGGAGGAAATATGATCAGAATGTCAAAAAGATAAAATACACAGGACTCCATTATATCATTTCAAAATTTGTAAGGTTGTTTTTTTTTATTATGACACCGAAGTTATTGTACACAATCGGCTTTTATAGAAATATCTAAAAGTAAAATGTCGTTGCCTGATTAACCAAACCTGTATTCCCATTATGTGATCTGAAACTGGAAAAACGAAAAACAGAGATAAGCTAAATTCTTCACAACATCTTAACATGGGTGATGGGACAAGGTTAAAATGCTATAAAATGTACTGTAGATCAGCTGCCCATGATCTCAGCTTAACTTAACTGTTTTTGTTTTTGGATTTCTGGCACTTTAATATAGTATACTGTATACCAGACCTTAAACATAATCATAAAAATTATGTAAAACTCTGAACAACAACTACAGTATTTTCACTAGTTTTTCATATGTCTTGCTTGTTGTATTTCTTTGTTTGTTTTGGTGTTAAAATTTAATGAATAATTTGTTTAAAATGCATCTAGAGTATTTCTATCCTGGAAGATTTTTTGTAGCACTAAGGCTTCTTCTTCAATATGCCTATTCATGCGTAGTAGGAATAATATTAATGCAAATGCGAATTCGAACCATAATGCGAATTCATGGTTCACTGGAGCAGCAGAAAGACTTGTGTGAATCAATACTGTGCATAACTTTTGCATTGATAAAAACAGTAAAAAAAATGAAAGAAATAAGTAAAGACTATTAAAAATAATGTTAAGATTCTACCAAGGTATGAAATGCTGTGGGAGCAGAATTTAAGTTTAATCTAGAAAGAGCTATATACTTTACTGACCTTTGTAATTAAGTTATTTTGATTTCAGTTCTGGGTCCAGGTTCATCTCTTCATTAATGTGTGGATGGCTCTCCATTGCTCAGCAGCTATATCAGATTTCACTAAAGGGCAGTCCTAAGGAACCACCCACAAAATCCAAAAAAATAAAAGAATGACATAAGTGTGTATGTATACAGCACAACATACTACTGGTCAGAAGTAAACTCTCCTGGCTCTTTTCGTGGTTGCTGTTCTGTCTGCCTACTATGCTCAAAGTAGATTTTTTTCTCTTGATTAATGGGTGAAGGGCTCTTCATGGCTCTGTGGCTCTAGTTTTACTCAAGGGAAGCCCTAGAGGAATCACAATAAAGAAATCACACATAATGCGTATAATTAAACAACACAGCTTGCAGTGCTGAGATTCCACCTCCTCTACCTTCATATGGGAATAATATAACGTTTACCGTTTTTATTTTTAAGATGCCTGGTTACCACTAGAATGCAAGCATGTACATGTAGTGAAGCTGTTTTCCTTAGGTTTGCTGCAGGCCTTCAGAGCTACATAGCTTAAGAAGTAGGAATTGCCACTCTTCATTGTTAATTGCAACACAAAAGTATGTGTTACAGGTAGAAAATAACTTGACCAAGGACAAAATCAAAGCTCAGAAAGGTGTGGTCTCACATTTTTAATTGTTTTAATTCTGCTTCCCTTTTACTTATATAGTTGTGCTGTAGATTACCGAAAATGTTTGTTTGAACTCTTTTGAAATGTGCGGCTGTTTTGTCTACAAACCTTTTTTCTATTCAAAAGCTTGTCTTGTAATACCTACTACTTGTTTGTCTTTTTGAATACAGTATATGGATCAGAGCTTGGGAACCATATACATAAGAAAAAATACAGCATATTGTATGTATATTCTATACAGTAGGTGCTGGATTACAGATTCATACAGTAGATACACAGGATTTTATGTCTCTAAGTTACAGTGTGGCTCTCTAGGGATTCATGCCATCTCAATAAGTCCTGCCAACAATTACACAATACATTTATTTTATTCTTCCAGTTTACTAATGTGACTATTTCTGCTGCAGTGAGGGGTAATATTGTAGGATTTAAGGATGAGTGGTCAACACTTAAACAGTTTGTATTGGCAGACAGCATCAAAGTGCATGAATATAACTAACAGGATCTGTTTTTTCTCTGTGCAGTCTTAGTAGATGTCAGTTTCTGTCAGACCTACTTAACACCCACTTCCATGTAGAGTTTACCCTGTGTAGTATACTGTATATATTGTATTTTTGAAAATGATTTGTTTCTTTCCAGTTGTAGTTCTTGCATTATTGTTATTGCAAAAAAAAAACATATTAACCAGACCAGAAACAAAACTTAAGGCTCCTTAAAATGCGCTCCCACCCATTTTTATCCCATCTTATTTCTCTTCTAAAGTTACAGAATATAATACCTCTAAAGTATTTATGAGAACACAGGAAAAAATCTTATCACAGTGAAAGCCATACTTTGATCTTTTATGAATCCTTGAACTTTCTCATTCACTGTTAAAATATACAGAAATAATATTTGGTACTGTATACAGTATGTTAATGATTTACAAGTTTTAATTTACTTATATATATAAAAAATCTAAATACCTACAATATTTGCAGCACTATTGATATTTAGATTTAAAAGTGCTTCTCATCCCAAAGAATCCCAAAACAATTTGCATTTAAAACGTTACCCGCTTCATCCTTGGTGAAAGTGCACCATGTAACCAGATAGAAGTAATTATTATCAGGTCACATAGGAGATCAGGCAGAGAAGTGAGGAACTGCTTCACTGATTGTACTAAGGCCAGCCCTTAGCTAGGCTAGATTTTGTAAACCTGTAGTGGGTTTTTTTCAGGCTTAAATTAGGCTTAACACTCCAACTCTCAAAAACCACAAGTCTGAATGGCTTTGCTCTTTGTATCAGACTGTTTGTTACTCAAACATGTGAAAAGTATTTGGAGGTATGTGTAAATAACAGCACTTACAGACTATACAATAAGTGTTGGAAATCAAAGATCGGCATCATGGTAACCGCAGAACCATAACAAAAAGCACAACTATCATAGTGATATTAAATATCCAAATCAAAATAATATTTTTTAATAAACAAGCATTTGTCATAATTGCACGGTATCTTAAAGGACAGCATAAGGCTAAATATTTATCATATGCCATTGCTGTCAGTATCAGCAAAGAACCAGCCGCATACATAAGGATAAAAAAGGCCTGGGAGATACAGGAAGGATAACTTATTGACCTGGAATCAAGTAAAATTTCTTTCATCAACTGGAGAAATAAGGCAGTGGCCCCCATTAGATCATTAATGGGGAGATTGAAAACTAGTAGATACATTGGTTTGTGTAAACGTTTCTCCATAGCAATTGTAAGAAGGATTACAAGATTACAGAAAAGAATAATACCATAACACAACATTCACAAAATGAATGCAAGGTAGACCCACCCAGGAGGTATAATATTCAAAGGTATCCTGAAAAGTAATAGCAAAAATTAAATTAATTATTTTGATTTAGTAGGTAAAAATATGTTTCTTACAAAATAGAAGCCAACCTTTGAAAAATGTATCAAATTTACAAGTATTTCCCTCCCCAAGTTTCAATATCATGTCAATCAGAAAATGTTTTGGTTATGATGTGCTTTTTCTACTTTTTAACATTCAAAAAAGAATGTGCGAAAACATTTCATTTCTAACCATCATGAAAAGCCAATCAGGTAATGTTTTTTTTTTCATTTTCAATGTGGCAAGTAATCTAATTATCCCTTTATTAAACCTTAAACTTTACTTTAGAATTATTGTTATTCATGTAGAAAGTATCCTATTTCCTAACTGTAAAAACAAAACCAGTATAAAATATTGCTGAAATGCTGCTACCTTATCTTTATTCCTAGTAAATTCCCAGATTTAGAACCAAGGGACTGGATATTTCAACCAGTATGAGTATTTAAACACTTTTTGGAGGAAATATGATCACAATATCAAAAAGATCAAATACACAGGACTCCACTAAACTTAAATAAACACAGTGAAACTGAATTCTTCACAAATTACAAATTGCATATCTCAACATAGGTGTAGGGACAAGGTTAAAAGGCTAAAATGTAAGTCAGCTGCCCATGATCTCAACTTAACTTAACTGTTTTTGTTTTTGGATTTCTGGTACAGTAAATCAGGACATACCAGACTTAAACATAACAATCATAAAATAATGTAAAAATATGAACAACAACTACAGTATTTCACTAGTTTTTCATATGCCTAGCTTGTTGTATTTTGTTTGTTTTGTTGTAAAAGTTTAATGAATAAATTTGTTAAAAATACATCGAGAGTATTTCTATCCTGGAAGATTTCTTGTGGCACTAAGGCTTCTTCTTCAATGTTCAAGGTTTACTGGAGCAACAGAAAGACTTGTGTGAATCAATACTGTGAATAATTTTTGCATTGATAAAAACAATAATAATAAGTAATAATAAGAATAGTAATTCTTATTAACAGTAATAAGTAATAGTAATAATAAGAAAGACTCTTAAAAATAATGTTGAAATTCTACCAAGGAAGAAAAAACTGAGGGGGTAGAATTTAAGTTTAATCTAGAAAGAGCTATATACTTTACTTACTGTACATTTGTAATTAAGTAATTTTGATTTCCGTTCTAGATCCAGGT